CTATTTTTTCCGAAATTTTTAAAAGAATCCCGAAAAGTATTTGCAGATATTTTTTAGTTGATAATCAACCAAGAATTTTATGAGTAATAAATAAGTTAGTGATTTGTGATGTTATAAGTTTTTTTTGTGAGAGTGATGCCATGTCATATTTCCATGTCATATTTTTTTTTGAGAGACTGAATATGGAGATGACATCTAAGCAAACTCACACAAATCAATTTGTAAACCGAAGAAAATGAAATCAATTTGTGTTGGTTTGAATATTGTTACGAATTACCAAATATATACGTTTCACTAAACCAATAGTTTAAGTAAACCGGTCTTGGTTTGATGTTCTTTCTTTATCAATCTCTGATATTTTTCGTTTCACGAGGTTTCCGGTAATTACCTCTAGAAAGGAAAATATTTTTACTTTAATTCGTTTAATTACCCGATTAGCAAAGTTCCAGAAAAAAAGGAAACTAAAAACAATTAACTAAACCCTATATATACTCATCATTGAGAGACACAGTGGCTATGTAACTTTCTTTCTGAACACAAAAAAAAACCTAATCTTGCTCTGTTTTTCTCTGTGAGACTGTGAAATCGTGAAACAAACACAAGAATGGGAGGCATGAAGAGGAAGATTGCAATGGAGAAGATAGAGAAGAAAGATTCGAGAACCGTTGCTTTCTCAAAACGTCGTCTTGGTCTTTACAATAAAGCCACTGAGCTTTGTTTACTCTCCGGTGCACAAATCGCAATCTTAACGACTCCGGTTTCTTCGAAATCCAACGTCTCCTTCTACTCCTTTGGTCACTCCTCTGGGGATAGTGTAGTTTCCGCTTTCCTCGCGAACCAGCGTCCTCGAGATGATAACATTGCGGTGCAAAAAGGGTTAGGGTTTTGGTGGGAAGACGAGAGGCTTGCTAAATCGGAGAATTCCAAGGAGTTGAGTGATGCGATCGACTCTATTTCGAGTATGTTGCAAAATCTTAAAGGGTTGCAATCAGAGGCCGTAGAGAATCGAAGAGAAGCTGAGGACTT